GCTGTTTTTACCTCATAGTATAAGCGTAAAAACGTTAATAAAGTAACAACAAATATCAAGTCTATAAAGTAACAAATACATATTAATTACTCAAATTATTACTTCAGTCGTTTTTAATGTATAAAGCGTTTATATGCAAAGAAAATCCAAAAACTATGGTTTTTATCATTAAATGAAGACACTCTAAAGATGCTTTGTGGGCTTTACGGCATAACCAGGTTTCATTCTCCCGGGCCCCTGGGCAGTTGCCCCCTATCGGCGGGCCTGCTTTTACTTGGTTTGATAACTGCCTGTAGGATATTGTATTACTTTGCTCAAGAACGTAATTTTGGTGATCTATGAAAGTTATTGAGCTAAGTTCTAAACGTGACAACAATTACAGAATGTAAATGTATTATATTTCTTAAACAGTAGAAATATTTTTACACATACTTTCTGTGTAAAGAATATTTAGAGCATTCACTATACATGGAAAACTAATCGTTTTTATTGAGTATTCAACGTTTAAGACGTTAGGTTCTCTGAAAAACATTTTTTTGTTTAATACAATACTTTCTGTTTAACACGCCATTTCTTACAAAACTGTTTGGTAAAAAGTTTAGTATTTTCTTGTATAATTTGTAAATGAAAAAAAATTTATTGTCTCATGCTATATGAGCTTATACTGTGTAAAAGTATTGGTTATTAACATTTCATTTTTAATTCTATTGTACAAATACAATGAACTAACGAAGGAAGTGCAAAAAATACCTACCTTGTTCAGCTTGACGTAAAGATTCGGATGAATGTTGGGAAGTTGATGTAAGATTGGTGTATAACAAACTAGTGTTTATTTGCTTTGTATATGTTTTATACCGAAATCAGAATTTTGATCATTGTATTTATTGCATTTTTTCAGTGTTTACTCATTTTTGCGTTAAAAAGACTTGAAAGTGTTTTATTTCTTATTAGCCTCACTGCAATCCAAATGACATAAAGTTAAATAGAACAGTAAGTTCTATAGTTTTTGTACGTGTTTGTATAGTCTATATTAATATTTGGTGCGAAATGATGTTTTTCCCTCATCGACGCATCATTCAATACTTCACACCATATGTTGATGATTGTGTGTTAACATGCTTTGCCTCTTATTAACTTCTTGATCAGAAAGATTTGTTTTATATTCATTAAAAATAATGTATGTGTGAATTTGAAAATAAACCTGATTTTTAAATTTTAAACATGCATGATCGGTCATAGCATCGTGTAAAATTGTGTTATTCGATATTCTGAAAACATGAATATTTATATAACTTTTTTCATCATAATATTGTATACGTCTGTAAAAAAATCATTAATTACTGACGTTAATTTGGATTTGTTAAATATATTTTCCTACGGTCTGTTGGTAACAATTGTAATTTTTTAACATACGATTATTACTTAAAATAATTATTAAGAATATAATTCTAATATTAAATATGAGCAGCTACAGAAGTTAGGTGCTCGAATGTTGTATATATGCATTGTAAACTTTTATGTCAGACAATAAAAAAAAAAAATCAAACATTTGCAATAATGCCCTAATGTTATTTAGTGGTGTTTATCATACATGTCAAGGATGGTATTTCTTTAAAGTTTAGTACTAATCCCCATAATATTTTTGAGTATATATATAAAAAAAAAAATATGTTATTTAATTTGAAGTCACTATTAATACTACCGAAGGAAGCCTAATTATAAGAAAACCTAATATATATATATAAAATTAATACACCACAGATAAAGTTTTAAAAAATATACACTTGAGTTCTGATATTAAGATAATCAACTTAAACGTACAAATGGAAAGATTTTTGCCAAACCACCCATTACTACTCTCAAAGAAGGTATATCTAGAATTTTTGACCAGAAGTTGCAAAGTTGTTCGTGAAATGTATCGCCGGGAGCTGTGTTGTTATTAGAAGTGCGTATCTCATCATAGTAGTTGATACGATAGGTATCTAGATACAAAAGTTTTACCAACGGTTTGTTACAATGTTTTTTTTTTTTGTTTGCACAAAAGGCTATCTGTGCTCTTCTCACCACGGGTATCGAAACCCGGTTTCTAGCGTTGTTAGACAGCGGACATACCGCTGTGCCACTGGGAGGCTACAATGTTTGACAGTCTTGTCTGTAATTTATTATCTATATTACTAACATTGTCTTATTTAAGTATTTCACACTTTACAGTGCTGTAACGAATTTATTTTAATATCGATGTTGTTTAGATTGAGTTTATATTTAAAAAACATGCATAGCTTATAGTGTTAGATATGTATTGCGCAACTCCCGCCTATTCTTCAAAGGTGTAGAAGATTCTCAAGAGTGAGAATCAACAATATATATCTGTGTATGTAAACTAACGCCACGCACCAGAGGGTGTCTATTATTAATTCACTATAATCAGCATACTATAAACTCCGAAAGCTATAATTGTGATTTCTAGAACGCTTATCAATAGGAAAACTTAAGATATTCGACCAGCAATATTTATAAATTTCGAGCATTACAAATCGTTTAAGTTCAGTGGATTCTCATCAGACATTAGAATTTTTTTACGAAAACATTACCAACTTCAACGGTGGAAAATAGCGTGTGTGGCAAAGGGGACAAACCTAGTTAGCTTCCCAGCGAATTGTTCTTAAATCAACCCGCTCATCGTAAACCCTCGATAAAATATCAAGGAAGCTCCAGACTAGAAAGGAAACTTTATA